CCCCCCCCCCCCCCATCTTCCACAGTTTCTTTTTTAGGTCAAGAAGCAAGAATCAACCGAATCGAACCCGCCCAGAAACTAGAACAAGAGAAGATCAATCGATAAACGGAACCTGTTGCTCGGAGAGCGGCTTGCACTGCATGAGCTGCGAGATCTGCTCGTCGAGGCAGCTGTTGGCCTCGGACAACATCGAATCCGTGCCCATACCCGCACCCGAATGAGGTGGCCAATGTCTGAAGGTCCGGCAGGGACGTGAGACTCCACTGCAGCGACGGGCAGTGGACAGAGAGAGAGAGAGAGAGATTGGGTGCGCGCGAGAGAGAGAGAGCGAGTGGGAGAGAAATGAGGTTGAATTATAGAAACCGGAAATGGCGAGGTGTGAGTGTGCGTGTGTTGTGATTGAGAATGACAATGGATTGAGTGGAGGGAAATTAATTATAATTTATATTTATATTCATAATTATAATTAAACGTAATTGATTCTATTCCGATGTGGGAACCTTCATGAAAGCTCACATGTTAACCACCAATCGTAAGACGCCACGTCAATGAGATTAATCATTACAAATAAAAAATTTCTTCAATTTAACATTATTACTATAAAAGCCAAAATTCATTTTATAATACCTTTCCAATGGAGCTTTCTTTTCTTTTTTTTTTAATAAAAAGTTTTAAATTCTAGCCTAATAATTGTATGGATTTATATTTTCTAAATACAAAAATAATTGCAAATAAGTAAGCATTTTCATGTTAAATATGAGTTTATTATTTTATTAATATTTTGAATATATCAGCGCGAAATAAACCCATAAATTTATTATCTTAGTTGTCCTTTGAGTATATCGAAAATATTTCAAACATCAATTAGCATTCTGTTAAAGTAAGGGTGCAAGAAATCAAGCTGAACTGATTCATTCAACTTGGTTTGATTTAAGTTATAATCATAAAAATGGATTGAAAATGAGTCGTCTTGCACGACTCGTAGTCAATCTACGATCTCCCCTAGTGATTTAGAAATGCCAACAAAATTATCCATCAAGTTAACATCATCTTATGCCTATGCTTTCTGTCTAGTAGTTTAAGAACCAAACTTTTAACCTTCCGAAATATAGGTTCCTAAACTACTCAAGTTAGGTTAAAATATACTTCAACAACATAGTATCGGAGATTTGAACCTCTAACATTTAGACAATTGTAAGGACTTTTATGAAATGACTTTTGAAGTGTTTAAAAACATCTTCACTTAAAAAGAACATTTTTTTTTAAGCACTTGGAAGTCATTTCATATCAAATATTTGAACAAAGTGAGATATGCTCGTGTTGGCAAGGGTTAGATTTTGGTTTAAATCCGCCCCCTTAGATTTGGACTTCCATCTAAGGGGTTGACAGTTCTATTAGCGGGTGCATCTGTAATGGTTTCGCAAAACGCAAAATCATAATAAGGAATAAATAAGAAGTTAGGAACCAAATTCTATTACCAGAGCAAGAAACAAGAAACAATGCATGCTTGTTTACGCATCTTGGACCACCAAAACATCACTTAATATTGAACTAATTAACATTGCTTCAAAACTTTGTGTTGTCCAACTTGTGTAGAAAATATAATTGATAGTACTGATAGAAAAGCAGAAACAAAGGTCACAACGCCTACGATTCTAGCACTAGATCGTTTACCTGCTGGTATCGACCATGTTAGGTCTGCCTTTGCATCGTCACTTTGCAACTTAAATAAACAGCTCCTATTATGTGGCTTTTCCTGTATGCTACACTGCAAAAACAAGTCCGGAGCCTTCAATCTAACTTCGACATAACCGCTTTCATCTAATGGCTGCAGAACAAGAAGAAAATATGTTACGAGTCCATTTAAGCACGGAAACAACATGACTAGAATATAGTGAATCGTTAAGCTTAAAAAATATAGGACATGAACAAGACCGCGTTGTTACCGCATACATTTTCACAAATTCATATCATTTACATATCTTTCTATGATTCTCATGCTACAATCGTTTGTCAGCTGTCAATGTGAGACAGATACAAACCAAATTATCAATTTTCTGAATGACATTAACATCTTAACTACACTACAAGCAAATTTAAGATCAATTCATTCTCAAAATGTGAGATCTCACATTGGTTGGGAAGGAGAACGAAGTATTCTTTATAAGATTGTGGAAACCTCTCTTTAGCAGATGCGTTTTAAAAACTTGAGGGAAAGCCCGAAAGGGAAAGCCCAAAGAAGACAATATCTGCTAGCAATGGACTTAGACCGTTACACGAAATGTTGTCACCGTCAAAATGTTCAAAGTGTAAGAAACTTGTTCGTGGTGGTTAACAAGGGTTTGACACGTGTTCAATGAATGTCAGACTCAGTATTCAATTTGTTCAATTAGTTTTTGATAGTGTCTGTTGTGCTAAGCAAAAATCTAACACGTGTCCTCGTAAGTGTTGGAGTATAAACATGGATACTATCTGAACTTATATGAGATAAACTAACGCTAAGAACTTGTTAGATTCCATTCTATCCTATGACGCCAGATCCTTCATAATGAACTTAAATAAAAACCATGTCACCTAGGATGATTATTCTAAAAGATACTTCAGGCTTACTGGATATCGTGAATGTAAAGGCAGATCAATGCTGAACTCGAGCAAATTCTTGTTGTGTGAAAAAATATTGAGACCAACGTCCTTGTGAACCTCGACAACAGACAGGTTGGAGAGGGCTGAAGGCAATTCCAAATTTGTATCTCCAAAAACGGCTACATCACTAAATACTGCAAAAAGAAGATAAAATAATAAGAAAAGGGTTGAACCTACTACATAGATAGTGACAGCAATACCATTTGCTGCAAATTATAAAAAGAAAGCAAGAGATATCAATATGTTTTACCAGCACGATGAAGAAGATGTTCCAATTCAAATGGGTCAGCAAAAACTCCCGATGGCAGTCGTTCGATGATAATAATCTTGCAATGGTGTGTGTGAACATGAGGTATGGGTTTTTCGATGTTGAATTTGATGGTCGATGAAAGTTGACGGTGAGAACCTTCTCCCTTAATCTTCAACAGGATCGAGAGACTTAGCACAGTATTTAGATCACATGGTAGAACTTGACATATGTTGACAGGAAGATCTTGCGTCAGGAAATCATCAAAAAGTGAATCAATGAAGCTTTCGTGCTTTCCATAATACGATTCCATAATATACCTTCCAACCTGGCAAATTAAGTACAAGAGTAACAAATGAAATACGAAAATACTTGTGAAGATGAACAAAACCAGTGTCTTCAGAACATTTATGATGCTCTCCCACCAAAAAGACATCAAATAATATCAAAGACTTATTCATCCCGTTGACTTAGCTACATTTACATTAAGAGGGACAAGATAAAAAAAAATTCACAATTTTTTATAAGGTCACAATCCAGAAACAGAGAGAGTGCAAAGTTATCTAAGCCATGAGTGCTTACAACAACAATAACAATTAAGTTTCTACTTAGTCTGAGACTCTGAAATAGGTTTTTAGGGATAATAACCACAGAGATTATAGCTATTTTCAAGATCATGCACTTATACGTTTACTCATGCAATTTTCTGTCAGGATTGCGAAGTGCAAAAGCATTTCAATGAAGTTACCAAAACTGTAGTTTGACAGGAATACAAGGATTTTTCGGGGATGTTCTCTCCATTTTAGATCGCTTTTTGGATTTAATTTTATTTTATGCTGTGTTTTGGTGTAAGACTAAACATCCTTTTAGAGATTATAGCCATCATATTTGATCTAATTGGAGAACTCTTTTGTAATTAGCCTCTTGGGGCTAGGAGCCCACTAAGCTCCTAGTATTTCATTTACCGATGAAAATGTTTCTCCTCTCTAAAAAAATTAAAAAAAAAACTTGCAGCTACACCTCCCGCTTTGTCAGGTATACTACGAAGAAAGACATGGATCGGTAGAAAATACCATTCCGGCACAATATGAGGTGGGGTAGGCATCGGATTAGAAGGTATATAATTGTCAGGATGCCCCAAAGCATTAGGAGCATAAAAATTCAAATGGAAAAAAAGATAGCAAAAGCTACCCAACCTACTACATCCACCAAAACTATGCTTTCCTGCAACAATGATAACTTTAAACTAAAATATTACTAACGTATTGAGGTGTCTTGTTGATTACTTGATGGTGCACAACATTCCAACAGAAAGATCAATGTAATGATCTCTCCCTTTTCAAGTTGCCAATGACTAATAGCACTCAGATTAACCCCTTTTGATAGTCCTCCAAGTATTATCAACTTATATCCAATCTTAAAACGAATAATATGCTTTGCAACATTAAAGCCGAGTATATTTAATACTGTGACACAACGGATAATGGTGAAAATACTAGTTCACTGTGGGATGTATTCAAGATGGCCTCCTCTCCAGTGGAAGCCTAACCTCTAAGTTAGCAGAAGGCCAATCCAAGACCCACAAGAGAGAACAAACGCTTTTGTTTAAACTTCACGATATTCATTACCTCCTCATCCTTTTTGTTTATTTAAAAAACGAGTATATCTTCTTTCCCAAGATTTAAAAAAATTGCAGGAAATATATTGCTGGTCCAAATCTACGAGTATAACCAAATTGAGTACTCTTCCTATTCAACCTTCATGCTTTACTAACTAGCAAGTTGTATTCAAGAAGCATCAAAATGAGATGCAGTGAATCCTTTTTCGACTCATAATGCACGCATGATAAAACCCCAAACCCCTTCCGAAACAGCTTTAGGATCTGGTTCAATATACATCCTTCCTACTTTTCATGTCAATTTGAGAATGAAAATAAGAAAAAATCTTTAGGAAAAAGGATGTTAAAAAAAGAAAGACCACAATTTTTATACAAAAACTAGATGGAGCAAGAGTTCAGTATCACTGAGAGATAAAAACCAATGGAATAATTTTAGCCTAAACCCAACATGTAACAGCTCTATATTAACACCAAAAAATAGCGAGATTTACTGGAACTAATATAGCACGTGAAGAAGTCACACATACAGTATTATAATTTGCACATACAATCTAATAATTGCAAAATGATAAAGAGTCGAGGAACATGAATTACTAGGACTGACCTTACTAGCGTGTGAAATGCCATTAAGGCAAGAGCCAAATACAGGGTAGAATATAAATGAAATTCCCAACAACAAAGAAATATAAACAGGAATGCTTGGCTTGGTCTTCATCACATAACTGGAACAAAACAAGAAAAAAGATGTTATGGTTCGAATGCTTATCTGAAGGCCTATATAACATGTTCCGTAGTGGACGAACAAGAACAGAGGTCAATATTTTCCAGAATTATAGTATAATTCATACTGATTTGAATACATCTGGCCAAAGTAGAAATCTTCTTTTGGATCTGTCTA